CCCATGTCCCCAAGTGCCACATCCACATGGATTTGAAACCCCTCCAGGAATGGGGATTCCACCCCTGCCCTGGGCAGCCTCTTCCAGGGCTTCAATCCCAAAGTTTGGGATTTGGGAGAACCCTTCTCTGCCACTGAGGCTTGGAGGTACCAAAGGCCCTGGGTTTAAGTCATGGAATCCTGGAATGGTTTGGGTTGGAAGGGACTTTAAGGATCATCCCATTCCACCTCCTGCCATGGGCAGGGACACTTTCACTATCCCAGGTTGCTCCAAGCCCTGTCCAACTCGGCTTTGGATATTCCAGGGATGGGGCAGCCACAACCAATGATAAAATCCAGCTCTCAACTTCCCAAAAAGGGAAATCTCAGGAAGCCCAAGCCCCCAGATCCCTTGGGATGAGCCCCGGCCCTGGGATGCTCCTCACAGAGGGCACAGATGGTCCGTGGCCGTGACAGACACTTGGGCAGGTAAAATGTCATTCCCATTCCCAAGGTGCCTCCCGGATTCCTTCCCATCTGTCCCCTCTCCAGCACAGCTGACAATTATCTCCAAGCCCATCTGTTTAATTGGGGGCTTCACAATTCCTCCCTGGAGCCAAGAAATCCGTCGGGAATCGCGAGTTGGCAGCACACTCGGAATGGTGGCTCAGCCTCCTGACAGCCCCCGACGTTCCCTGTGTCGCTGCATTCCCGACATCAGGAGACACATCCACAGGGGTTTATTAACCACCCAATCCCAAATCCAAAGGGATACCTCCCTGCCAGCTCAGGGTTCCACCTTCCCTAAGGAAAAGGGGTGATAGAGGCAAGGAAGGAATGACCAAGAGGAATTAGCAGGGACAGGAGGAATTGGAATCCAGGAGGAATTGGGGGGGGACAGGAAAAACTGGGATTTGGGCCTCCAGGATGAGGAGAAATTGGGGTCCAGGAGATACTGGGATCCAGGCCCTCAAAACCAGGAGGAGTTGGAATCCAGGCCCCCAGGACCAGGAGGATTTGGGGTCCAAGAGGAATTGGGATCCAGGAGGAATTGTTGGGGACAGGAGGAATTGGGATCCAGGCCCCCAAGACCAGGAGGAAATGGGATCCAGGAGGAATGGAAATCCAGGAGGAATGGGAGTCACTGCCACTACATTCCCACCAGGAAGCTGCTCCCTCATCCCAGACTCATCTGGATTGGGAAGGACCACAAGCCCATCCCCTTCCACCCCCAAACTTCCCAATGCAGGACCACCACAGCAACATTCCTTGTCCTTTATCCCACGGGATAAATCCAGCAGGGAATTGAAAGGGTGCTGTGTGTTAACCCAGGGCTGAGATAGGCCCGATTCCAAAGCCAAGCCCAGCTAAACCTGGCTTAACCCCCCCTGCAAATCCATCCCATCCCGTTGGATGTGTGTATTCCAAATGAGTCCATTCCCCGGCCCTTTCATGTGCCCGCCATCCCATAATAGTTGCCAGATGAGCTCTGGCCGGGCTATAAATAAGATCAAAAGGGAAGGAAAGGATTTAATCAGGACCAAAAAAAACACCCGGAGAGGGGAATGAAAGCAGGGAAAAGGCAAAGTTCAGAAGCTTTTTTCCAGAGGAAACTTTGGTTCCAACAGAAAACTCCCTTTTTCTCCAAAAAAAAAAACCCAAACCTTTTTTGCCATGAAACTCCTTTTTTTTCCCAACAGAAAACTCCCTTTTTTTCCTATAGAAAAATCCCTTTGTATCTACAGAAAATTCCACTGGGATGCTCCCATTCCCATGGAGCAGCTCTTACTGGGCTGCTCCTGCCCCACTCGGATTCTCCCATTCTCATGGAGCAGCTCTCACTGGGATACTCCTGTCCCACTGGGATACACGCACCCCACTGGAATTCTCCTGTCCCACTGGGATGCTCCCAGTTCTATGGAGAAGCTCTTGCTGAGATCCTCCTGCCTCACCGGGATTCTCCTGTCCCACTGGGATATTCCCATTCCCATGAAGCAGCTCTTATTGGGATGCTCCTGTCCCACTGGGATTCTCCTGCCCCAGGGGGATGCTCCTGTCCCACTGGGATGCTCCCATTCCCATGGAACAGCTTTTGCTGGGATTCTCCTGCCCCACTGTGATGCTCCTGCCCCACTAGGATTCGTCTGTGCCACTGGGATGTTCCTGTCCCACTTCGATGTTCCTATTGCCATGGAGCAGCTCCCACTGGGACACTCCTGCCCCAACGGGATGTTCCTGTCCCACTGGGATTCTCTCATTCCCATGAGGCAGTTTCCACTGGGATCATCCTACACCAGTCGGATCCTCCCATCCCAATGGGATACTCCCGCCCCCCTGGGCCGCTCCCATTTCCCCGGAGCCACTCCCGCCCCACCGGGCTGCTCCTCTCCCACCGGGACGCTCCCGCCGGCCCCACGCGCCGTGCCCGTGGCCCACCCGGCCGTGCCCACTCACCATGATGGAGTGGCGGTTTGCCGAGAGCAGCCCGGTGCCGTAGCCGGCGCCCAGACCAGCCATGGCGCCGTTGTGGGCGCCCAGCAGCCCGTGCATGTCCCCATGGGCCCCGGCCATGGGCGCCGCTCCCACCGCGTGGTTCCGCAGCACGTGGATGGCGTCGTCCAGCCGCTCCAGCCGGTCCTCGATCCGGCTCTGCTGCGGGGCGGGAAAAGCAGGAATGGCGTGAGGAGCCCACCCCAGGATACGGCCAGGCCTCCCTGCTCAGCCCTTGTGCTTCCACCTTATTATCCTTGGATTTGCTAGGTTTTCCTTGGATTTTTTTTCTCTTAAGGAACGGGTTTGCTTCCTTAGGGAATGCCACACCCTAGGGAAGGTTGAACCCCGGGGAGTGTTGAGCCCTAAGGAATGTTAACGAGTCCAGCTTTGATTTTCATGGGCAAAACAGGTTCAATGATTCCTCATGAACATGAATCAGGCCAGGACAGCATTCGCCCTCCAGGTCTCAGCAGAGCTGGAGTGAGAGCGAGGTAAAAGAAGGATTCAAAAACTGAAAATTCCAAAGGAAAATCAAAAAGAAAAGCAGGAGAAGGAAAGAAACAAAGAGGTTTCGCTGCCATTTTCCTCCCCGCTCAAATAATCCCAGGATCACACACGGAGAGGAGGAGGAACTACCAGGTCCCGCAGCCACGGGGGTTTAATCCCTACAGGTCAGAGCTCCCAAGGGATGGGGAACCTCAACAGGACATTTCCCGAGTCCCCAGGGGCCAAAGAATCTCAACAGAACACTTCCCAAGTGCTGGAGAATCTGGAACCTCACCAGGACACTTCCCAAGTCTCCAGGTGCCGGAGAACCTCAACAGCACAGTCCTGAAGTTCCCAGGGGCTAAGGAACCTCAACAGGACACTTCCCAAGCGCTGGAGAACCTGGAACCTCAATAAGACACTTTCTAAGTTCTGGAGAACCTGGAACTTCACTAGGACAGTCCCCAAGTCTCCAGGTGCTGGAGAATCCCAACGGGACAATCTCAAGAGCTGTGGAACCTCCCCAGGACCCTGAGCTGCCAAGGGAACCAGGCAGAGCTGCTGGAGCTCCTCAGCAAAGCCCCCAGCCATCCCCTGCTCTCCAGAACCTCCACAGGAAAGCCTGGAAACACTGGCTTCCATCAGCACAAGGATTTCTGGACTGGGGTGGAAAACCAGCCCATCCTAATTCCTGACTCCGGCAAACTTCCCGATACTTCCAACCGAGACCATCCCTTCCCTCGGTCCGTGGGGACAGGACCAGGACCATCATCTCCATCACTGCACAGAGACCCCTCACCATCACTTCCATCACTCTGCAGGGAGAGGACCAGGACCACCATCTCCCTCACTCCAGGAGACCCCTGACCATCATATCCCTCATTCCATGGGGATCCCTGACCATCACCTCCCTCATTCCAGGGGACTCCTGACCATCATCTCCCTCATTCCATGAGAAGACCCCTGACCATCACCTTCCTCATTCCCCATGGAGAGAATCCTCACCGTCAACTCTCTCACTCCATAGGGACCCCAGACCATCATCTCTGTCATTCCATGAGGAGAAAATCCCTCACCATCACCTCCCTCATTCCATGGGGATCCCTCACTCCATGGGGAGAGGACCATAACCATCACCCCCATCACTCCAGGACCCCTGCCCATCATCTCTCTCATTCCGTGGGGATCTCTGACCATCATCTCCCTCATTCCATGAGGATCCTTGACCATCCTCTCCCTCACCCCACAGGATTCACAGATGCACCATCCTGAGTCCACCACATCTTCCTACTCCCATCCATCCACCCATCCATCCATTCCCCCCATCTCCCTCCTCACCCTCTTTCCTGCTCCTCACCCCCTTTCCAGTAGATCCCAACACCCCCTTTCCCTCTCGGGAGCACCTCCAACCCTCCCCGCCCCGGCTCCACCACGCGACTTCCATAGGGATGAGACTTCCGGGGCCGCTCCGGGCGCGCAAAACCTGCATGGGAGGAAGCGGCGGATGGAGCACGACATCACTGAACGCAAGGAATTCCCGCAGGAAGGAGGTCACCGGTTGGAACATACCAGGGAGTGTAAGGGACCTTCATAATTGGGAGATGATGCCGCTTGACCTCCATTCCTAGACCAAACAGCTGTTCCTGCTAATAAGTAAAATCGGAGTTACCGTTGGAACTCGGCAAGTGCAACGTTCCCGACTTTTCTGGGACGCTTTTTCTGAGGCGTGGGAATGGCCTATGCCGAGCTGGAGCTTCCCAAGGTGCTCCTCTGCGGGTGCCTCGGCGGAACTCCTGCGCTTGGAGCTCAAACTCGGCCTCACGGCGCTGGGAGGAAAAGGGATTCCTGCTCTCCAGGAGTTTGCCAAGGAAACAATTCCAGCTTTTCCTTCAATCCACTTCTCTAATTTTCTATACTGGTTTGACCCTGGGTTATCCCTATTTCCCACTGGGAAGCAGCACAGTCCAAATTATCAGGGAATTCTCCCTCTGGCTCAGCCCCTTCCATAGGGAAAGGAAGGAGACACACAGTCCCTTCTAAATTTTGGGGTAATTCCAGGGAAAATAAGGGTGGGAAGTTGTTTTTTGGGGTGTGGGACCCCCCAAGCCAGGTCAGGTGGTCCCTCTGTCGCTTCCATAGGTTTCATCCCGATTTTGCAGGATGAAGGTGGGTGTGGTGCCCTCCTGGACCTGCCCTGACCATCCCTCCTTCCCAAAGGGTCTCATCCCCGTAGGAATGTCTGGGAAGTGGGACAACACCTGAGAGGATCAGGAGCTCCCCATGGAGAGCAAGGGATGATCCCACTTTTCCCTGCTCTACAGAGACACGGTGGCCTCAGCTCCGGCTCCGGATTCCCGGTGAGTTAATCTGTATCCAAGGGATCTTGGATTACACCTGGGCTCCAAGTGGGATCTCCAGGGAGGTAGGATGTGCTGCTGGGAGGAGGAACCAGATGGAAAAGGGTCACGGATTAAAAACTGGGAATGCCAGTCCGAGGACTATTTCCACCTCCTGATGCTCATGAGAACAACCCCAGGCCTCGGGATTTGGGGAAAGAATGCAAATATTCCAATAAAGTCCAGGATTACAAAATCATGGAATGGACTGGGTTGGAAGGGACCTCTAAAGGTCATTCAGTCCAACCCTGGGACACCTCCCACTATCCTACATTGCTCCAAGTCTTGTCCAGCCTGGCCCTGGAGAAATCCAGGGATGGAGTAGCTCCTCTGGACAACCTGTGTCAGTGTTTTACCTCCCTGATCCTAAAAAAACCTTCCTAAAATCCAACTGCCCAGACTTAGCTCCAAACCATCGCCCCACCGTTCCTGGGGGATGTCCCTGAGGTGCAGGAAGCTCCACAGGGATAACCTGGGATATTCTGGGAGACACATCCACTGGGAGCTGCAACAACCTTCTCTCTGCACCGGAGGCAGGACACCGAGGCGGGACACCCCGGTCTGAGCTCGGGTAGGGATCTCTTCCCAAAAAAAACCCACCTTAGGAGGACCCGTTCCATAAAATAGAATCATAACAATACCTGAGAGAGAAGGGGGAGAACCAACAGGAGTTGAAGGATTTGATGAAAAGCTGTTGTTGGTGTGATCTGGAGAATAGATCTTTAAAAGATGATACACAATTAATCTAAAGCCGTCACAACCCGATCCAGACAAAAAAAAAGCTTGGAATTCTTATGCATTCCATTCATTTCAATGAAAGCAGGACAGGCTGGAAAATTCCTTCCGATCCAGTCAATTAATTCCAGGAGAGTTGAAAGCCTCTTGGCTGTGCCAGTCAGCTCTTTGATGCACAGGAGAGGAGGAAGCTGGACACCGAGTCCCTCGGGAAGGGACTCCAGGGATTGGGATTTCAGGGATCGGCTCCGACACCATTTTATTGTCTCGACTTCATTTTATGAACGAGTGTCATGAGAACTCAAAGGAACCCACTGTGCCCAGAAAATAATAGGGATGGTCCTGGTTAAAGGGCAGCCAGTGCCACTGGGATAGCGGGAACGGGGCGGGAATATCCCAGTGGGAGCTGGGAAGCGCTGCGTCCAGTTATCCCAGAAAAACATGGGAACTGCTGCCTTTAACAGCCACCACATGAACTGGAGAGGTGGAGCTGCCATAGAACAGAGAGAACCTCCAGGGATTTCCAAAGGAATCCTGTTGGAGGGTGGTCTGGGAGTGCAGGAGTCGTTCCTGCTGCTGGGTTCCCTCTCCCGTGGAAAAGTGGGATGGACTTGGCACACCTCAAGCCTTCCCCTCTTTCCACTCCTATCCTACCCTAAAATTCCCTCTAAAGCTTTCCCAACACCCCCTTTCCCTGATTATCCCCTATTCCAGCCGGCACGGGCTCCAGGGGGGCGATCTGCTGCTCATCTCCAGCAACTCCAGCTGGAGAACTGGGACTCAAATTCCCTTCCCAAGGGGTCAACATGGGAATTCCAAAGTAAATGTTTCCTTACAGAGGCGAGTGCTTTCCCCAGGGCATCACCAGTCTGCGAACTTCCCGCTGCCCCACTTCCTCTGTTGGCTGCAAGGCAAAAAATTCCATGTAAAACCAGCCAGGGGAACATCTCAAAATTCCTACTCCTGCTCCACCTTCAGGAATTCATTTATTTAATTAATTTGTTATTTAATTGCTTTTAATTAGAGAAGAGTCACCTTTAATTTAATTCAGCCTCACTTGACTCTATTATAGATTTTTTTTCCCAGTCTTATGGAATGGCTTGGGTTGGAAAGGGACCACAGGGATCATCATTCCAACCGTTAATGGGCTGGGAAAGCTTCCACGAGACCAGGTTGCTCCAACCTGGCCTTGGACACTTTCAGGGATTGGGAAAGAGCCCCAAGAAGGGAGCAGAGACCTGGCAAGTCCCTAAAGGAGGAAAGGATGGCAGAGGGTTGTTCCTTCAGAGCAGGAACTCAAAAACAGGGATATTCCAGCCTGGAAAAGCCAAGCCAGGAGGCAGCAAGGCACCGGGAAGATCCTCCACATTGGGAAGCTCACGACTCATCCCGTTCCATGGGCAGGGACACCTTCCACCAGCCTAAGTCCAAGCCCTGGCACAATTCCAGGGACCAGGAATCCACAATCCCTGGGAGAACTCGGCCTCTGAGCCTGGTTTAGTTCCTCCTTTGTTCCCAGATCCTAAAAAAACCCCCACGTCCATCTGTTGCTGGTCGACCCCACCCTCCATTCCTCCGGCATTAGTGCCGCTCCGCCATCCCGCACGGAATCACGTGTGTAATCCGAACCATGTGTCCCCATTTCCCCATCACTTCATCACGGAATCGCTCCCAGAGAGACCAAACAGGGGGTTCTCATTTCCTGTCTTTAACCATTCCCGGGCTGTGCCCGCGTGACTCCCAGCGCTGCTCCCGGGGCTCACCCAGGATGGAGTCGGTGCCGTTGGCCGGGGGGGTGCAGGACGAGGCGCTGTAGTGGTTGGTCCCGCTCCGGTGGAACGTGGACATCGGAGGAAGACTGGAATTGATGTCGCCTGAGGAGTGGGATGGGTAGCTCTGTGCCGAGAAAAACAGGGAATGCTGGGATTACAAAGAGGGTGGGACACTGCTCGTGGTGTCCCGAGGGCGGTTGGAAGGGATTTTTAGGATCATCCAGTCCCACAGGCAGGGACACCTTCCATGGCCCAGGTTATTCCAACCTGGACACTCCCAGGGATGGGGCAGCCACAGCTTCTCTGGGAATTCCATCCCAGCCCCTCCCCACACTCCCAGCCAGGAATTCCTTCCCAATATCCCATCTAACCCAGTGGGAAGCCATTCCCTATGTCCTGTCCTTCCAGGTCCTCATCCCAAGTCCCTCTCCAGCTCTCCTGGAGCCCCTTTAGGCCCTGGAAGGGGCTCTGAGGTTTCCCCGGAGCCTTCTCTTCTCCAGGTGGATATTCCCAGGTCTCCCAGCCTGGCTCCAGGGCAGAGGGGCTCCAGCCCTCGGAGCCTCTCCGTGGCCTCCTCCGGACCTGCTCCAACACCTCCAGGTTGGAGATCCCAGCCCTGGAAGTGTCCCAGCACTGAAATGGGTTGGGTTGAAAGGGATTTTAAGGATCCTCCAATCCCACCCCTTGTCGTGGGTTGCTCCAACCTTGGGCACTTGCAGGGTTGGAGCAGCCATGGATTCTCTGGGAAGCCCCCATCCCGTCCCGCTGTCCCTTCCCCGGGATCCTCACCAAGCGGTCGTGCGGGTGGAGGCTGCAGTAGCTGCTGGATTGGGGAATGTGGGAAGAGTTGCCCAGCATTCCCCCGTAGCCAGGCTGGTTCATCCCGCTGGAGGAGCTCCAGGGGTCGCTGCTGTGGTGGCCATCTGCAAGACAGGAATCAGGGAATCGTGGAGCACTTTGGCTCGGAAGGCACATCCCACACTGTCTAATCCATGGGCAGGGACACCTCCCACCATCCCAGGTTGCTCCCAGCCCATCCAGCCTGGCCTCGGACACTTCCAAGGGTAAATCTTTGATATATTATTAGAATCCTGGTAATCTCCAGCTCTGGAATTCCAGAGGAGCTTCAGAGCTCTTGGGGTGATAATAAATGAAAGGGATTAGGAAAAAATTCCTTCACGGAAAGGGTGCTCAAGCCCTGGAATAATCAGTAGTGGGTTTCCATCCCTAGAAATGTCCAAAGAACACGTGGATGTGGCATGTGGGGACATGGATAGTGGTGGCCATGGATGGTCAGGCTTGATAATCTTGGAGGGCTTTTGCAACCCTAATAATTCCATGATTTTATGATGCTAATCCTTAAAAAGTGGATAATTTTGCCCTCAGTGTGGCAAAAAATGAGCAGTCGAATTTTACGTGGATCTTTCCCAACTCTGGGAATGTTATCAATTAATTTATCCCAAATTCCTTTGCATTTCCACGTAATCATGACAACCTGGAAGCAGCAAGACCTGGAAAAATTCGGGATTCAGCCTCATTTTAACCCCATAGCTCTAATTTCATGTGCAGGGAAACAGGGATATGGAGACAGGGTTTTTAGGGAAACGATCCCAAAATGGCTCAGCTACGGACAAATTAAATATAAACCTGGAGAAAAAAAGCTGGAAAATCCGTTTCCTTCCTACCTTGCATGAAGAAGGAGCTGGGAAAAGTGCTGGCTGCTGGTTTGGAGGAGGGATAACCCGGAGAATCCCTGTTGTAGTCGGCAGTACTGGCTGAGGGAGCATAAACCTGGGGGAAAAAAAAGGCTCATTTAGCCCCCAAAATCGAGTTTTCTGGCGAAATCCCTTCCCAATCCCCCTGGAATGCAAAACCCGGGTGACTGGAAAGTCAGTTCCCAGCTTCAAAAGCAGCTCTGGGCTGACATTTTCCAGCTTGGAGAGGGAATATTTGTCCAAGTCTGGGTTCTGTAAATCCAATTAGGCAGCAGATGGACATATGTTCCTCCTCGAGCCTCCCGGAGCTTAAAATAAACAGGAACTGGGAACAATGAGGAGTTCTTTTGGGATGAAAGCATGTGGCCTTTGCCCACCTTGGCACACAACTGAAACTGCTCCAAAATTCCCGGCTTTCAGCTGGACACACATTAATTTTCCAACCGCGCCGGTACTGGCAACGTGGAATTATGGTGTTATGCCGGGATATGAAATTCCCAGGGATCCAGCCTGAAAGGAGTCTGAAAAAGCTGGAGCAGCACGAGACCACCAACACAGCACGGGGACACTCCAGGGGGGAAAACTCCGCCTCTCCCCGGATGACTCAAGTCATCCCTACAAAAAGCCAGGAGCGGGTGCCAAACACTCCTCACTCCCAGTTTTCCCTAAGTCACCGGAGCCCGGCCACTGGAATTCTCCCTCTGAGCTCCAGAGGGAATTTGAAGGCCGGATCCCCTGAGCCAGGCCGGCTGGATGCAGGGAAGGTGCTGTGCAGGGTGGGATGGATTCCTGCCGCTCCCGCTCTCCAGATGGTCGGGAAGGCTGAATCCCTGTCATCTCCTGGATGAAAATGGATCCCTTCCTGCCTCCATTTTGAAGCGGCAGCAGCTCCCAGGAGCTGGCACCACGCCCGCTCCCGGCATTCGCGGAGAATAGGGAAGAGAAATCCAGGGAAGCGCAGCTGGAAGAGACCCCAGGGCTGAAGGGGTTCCTCTCCACAGAACCCCCCCAAAACCAGGGAGAGCAGGGTCAGTGGGGTGGGATGCAGAGGGACATCCCACTGGAGTTCCTGGAGGCGCGTCCCGGGCGGCACATACGGAGGGCTGGGAATTTCAGCGGCGGCTCCGTGGTGGGGCCAACGCTCCAAAGGAAAGAAGTGGGAGTGAATCCCAGGAAAGCTGGAGACTTTGGGTGGGTAAATCAAGAGGCAACACACTGGACCCACCAGATCCCGGATCATGGAGCGGGAGATTCCGGCTGGGATGAGACACCACCCAAGGCACCAGGATTGTGGGAGAGGAAGTTCCATTCCCATGCCACCATTTCTTGGGATTAAGGGCCTGGATGCATTGCACGGAACACCAAATCCTGCTGCCTGCTCAGGATTTGAGAATGAGGCTCCCGGTGCTCTCCTCATCCCAGAGAGGGAGGGTCAGGGATACAGGGAAGAGGCTTTGGAAAAGCCTGAGAGACGGTGGAAGGCACCGCAGAATTCCAGGACAGCTGGGGGTGGAAGGGATTTTAAGGATCATCCCATTCCATGGGCAGAGACACTTTCCACAGACCAGGTTATTCCAACCCGGACTTGGACACTTCCAGAGATGGAAGTCTTCGGGAATCTGTGCCAGGGTCTCCCCAGCATATCTCCATCCCTGGAATTGTCCCAGGCCAGCCTGCAGCATCCTGGTGGGAGGTGTCCCTTCCCAGTGGAAGCGCTGATCCTCAAAATCCCTTCCAACCCCAACCATTCCACGGTTCTCCATCCATCCATCCATCCCAGCCTCTTTCCCAATTTGATGGCAAATCTGGATCTGGGGACATCAATATCCATCTGGAAAACCCGAATTTAGCAACTCCCTGACTCAGCCGGGAGGTTTGAGGAGATGGTGAAGAATGATCCTGGAAAAACACGCCATTCCGGAGCAAATCCCACCACACTGGAGCCATTTTGGGAGCAAATCCCAAACACCTTTTCTTTAAATTCCTGGGGATGGAGCCTGGGTTTGCTTCCATCTGAGCATCCCGGAGTGCTCCTGCTGGATGGACCCCAGTGTCTTGGGGATCCAAAGCTTTCCAAATTAAGGATGAAGAGCCTTGAGAAGTCCTATCAGCTACCAGGTGAACTGGGAGTGGGATATCCGTCTCCGGTGGGAATCACCAAGCACCAGGAGATGCCTCCGGGATCCACCCTGGAACAGCTGCAGGTGTTTGGGAACCCAACCCAGCTGGAAAATTAAGAATTATGGAGTCCCAACTCCCGGCCCCGTGAGGACAACTCCAAAATCCCTGGGAGTGTTGTCCAAAGGCTCCTGGAATGCCGGTGCCGTGAGCACTTCCCTGTTCCAGTGCCTGACCAACTCGTGGGGAACCTTATCCCAAAATCCAGCCTATCCCCTGCCACAGCTCCAGCTGTTCCCTTGGATCCTCCCACCGGTCACCTGCCCTTTGTGACACAACTTCCTTGGTCACAACAGGCCTCGTGCTTCCCACTCTGGCCTCTGGAGCCCGGGAATGCTGCACCCACACAGACAAACAAGATGGGGGAAAAACTCCAATAGTAATTAAAAAAATACTCCCTAAATCCCATTTTTCCTCCTTTCCAACTCCTGAGGAACACGCTCCGTGCTGTCCTCGCTCTTCCCCACCCGGTTTGGGACGAAATCTCTCAGTTCAGTGCAAAATTCCCTCATTTCAGTGCGAAATTCCCTCATTTTCAGTGAAAATCCCCAAAGTAACCCCCCCTCCCCAACCCGCTCCAGGTTTCCAGCGCTTTTCCAACAGCAGGTCCCTTAATTTGGGCCACATGTGTCCGGGGGAGCGGGGGGAGAGGAAGAGGAGCGGGCCGCGGGGGCGGCAGGCGCGGATGAAAAGCCAGGGAAGCGCATTCCCGGCGCGGGCTGGAAGGGGCCGGAAGGAAAAGGCACCCACCCACCTCGGCCCGACCTGCGAGGGCCCCAATCCCAACCAGATGTCGGCGCTTCCAGAGCCTTCTCCCAGCACAAATGCTCCCAGGGCCAGCAAAGGTAATTGGGAGCAGCTGAGCTCCGGCGCGGAGCAGCACATGGAAAAAAAAAATCCTGGAGCGGGATGAGATTCCAGGCCCTGCCGAGCGCAGTGGGAAAACAAGTGGAGCGGGAAGGAAAGGCACCTGTCCGGCACAGGGGGCGGAGAAGGCTGGGATCAGCACACCCAAAGCGCTCCAGAACCCTGGAATTGCCGCTGGAGCCGGCTGTCCGGCACACAGTGAACCCCCCGGGATCACAGGTTTAATCCTGGGATTATCACAAGCATGGAATGCTCTGGGGTGGAAGGGATTGAAGGATCATCCAGTCCTCTGGGCAGGGACACCTTCCACAGCCCAGGTTATTCCAACCTGCCCTTGGACACTTCCAGGGATCCAGGGGCAGCCACAGCTTCTCTGGGAATTCCATTCCGGTCTCTCACCGCCCTCCCAGCCAGGAATTCCTTCCCAATATCCCACCTAACCCATCTGGAAGCCATTCCCTTCGTCCTGTCCCTCCAGGTCCTCATTCCAAATCTCTCACCAGCATTGGGAATTCCTGGCTGGGAGAGTCGTGAGGGACTGGGATGGAATTCCAAGAGAAGCGGTGGCTGCCCCATCCCTGGAAGTGCCCAGGGCCAGCTTGGACTAACCTGGACTATGGAAGATGTGTGGGCTGGGAATGAGATGACCCTTCCATTTCCCCCAACCCAGGATTCTCCGCTCCCCCCCAGAATGCCATCCCAGCACTCCCTGAACATCAGCTGCCTGACTTTTCCTCCCTTCTCCCACCCTCCGGGATCCTCCAAAGCCGCAGATCCTGCTGGCTCAAATGTTTTCCAGATGGGAAGGCCGAGCCCTGCTCTTGGGAACGCCCGGAGTTAAAAAGGGGTCAAGGAAATTAGAGAGGGAAGAAAAAAATTCTGCCCTGATGTCATCCCTGCGCAGCAGGACACGGCTGGAAAAGCAACAGGAACAGCCCAGAGCCACAGCTTTTCCAGCCACACTCTGATTGCTTCCTGATCCTTCACAGGATTATGGAATGGTTGGGCTTGGAAAGCCCATCTTGTTCTGTAAGGACACCTTCCACTCTCCCAGGTTGCTCCAAGCCTTGTCCAGCCTGGATTGATTTCTCCATCCAAGGTCATTCCCAAAGCAGTCCAGCAGCAAAATCACCCCTCAGCCAGCTCAGGTGGATTCTGCTCCAACACATCCCTAATTCTGGGATCCTGGAAAACCAGGAGGCCGAGCTCGCTGAATGATCCCAGCATGACACTTCCAACAGGGATTATGGAAGGAAAAGAGAGAGCAAGAGGAATCACAACAGGAAAACACCAAGGAATGGGTGAGGAGACTGGATCCACCCCTGCCAGGGCTGGCCAACCCTTTCCAGGCAGGAATTTTCCCTCATGTCCAACCTAAATAAATCCCTGCAGGAATGGGGACTCCATCCCTGCCCTGAGCAGCCTCTTCCAGGCCTGGAAACCCTTTCCAGGCAGGAATTTTCCCTCATGTCCAATCTAAATAAATCCCTGCAGGAATGGGGACTCCATCCCTGCCCTGGGCACCCTTTCCACAGTGTTGGAGTTGGCTGCCCCATCCCTGGGATTGTCCAAGGATAAGGCTTGGAGCAACCTGGTCTGCGGAAGGCGTGGGGTGGAACAAGATGATCCTTCTGGTACCTTCCCATCCAAGGCACTTCCTGATCCCACAATCCCATGAAATGAAGGTCTGATGAGCAGAAAGGATCCCAAACTGGGCTGAACCTTCCCAGAGTCAGATTTTTAGGAAGAGGCGGGTCCTGTTCCAAGCCCAGCACCTCAACCCCACCCCGGGGGATGAATCCCGAGCCGCGCCCTCAGTACAAATTCCCTCTGGTCCAGGAAGGGCGGGAACGTGGCTCCGGCACTTCCAGGTGCCGAACAGCGAGGGAAGCGACCGTTCGCTTTCTCCGTCAGCGGAGACGTCGGGATCCGTTAATAAATCCATCGGCAAACCCTCCTCTGATCCAGGGAGACAGCCCCAAGTTCCAGGAAAAGAAATTATCCCTAATTACCTGGAATTGCTGTCTTCCT